GACTTTATAAGCAACCAATTCACTATCCCAGGTTGATTGCTTGCGTTACAGGTTGCATTTGCTGACTGCTGACCTCTTTACCTGAGGTGCACAAACATAACAGGCAGCCACCTGGTTATTTGACCAGTTCCTTCTTAGTAAATGTTGTGTTGTTGTTTTTTCAGTATATAGTAATGCATCTTAAAAAAAATATCTGAATATCATGAAGAAGTTTAATTCTTTCAACAATTTTCTTCAAAAAGGGAAACACTGATATAGTCTTTATTCATTACATGTCTTTTAAGCCTGCTAAGGTGTTGTTGAAGGTTGATTTGATAGCTGCCATAACTTGAGATTTATAATAGTTGTCACTGTGGGCAGTGCTAGGTCCTGCTGGAAAAGGAAATCAGCATTCCCATAAAGCTTGACAACAGGTGGAAGCATAAAGTGCTATAAAATCTCCTGCTAGACAACTGCATTGACTTTTTGATAAAACACAGTGGACCAATCAACCATCAAAACCCACCAGCACTTGATACACAGACCACACTCTCCACTTTTCCTCCAGAAAAATGTGGGCGATCGTGGCTCAAGAGTTGGCAGTTTGTCTTGTAATCGGAAGGTTGCCGGTTTGAGCCCCGGCTCGGACAGTCTTGGTTGTTGTGTCCTTGGGCAAGACACTTCACCTACTGCCTTCTGGTGTTGGCCAGAGAAGCCCATGGCGCGATATGGCAGCCTCGCTTCTGTCAGTCTGCCCCAGGGCAGCTGTGGCTACAACTGTAGCTTGCCTCCACCAGTGTGTGAGAGTGAATGAATAGTGGAACTGTAAAGCACTTTGAGGGTCTCGAAAAGCGCTATATAAATGCAATCCATTATTATTTGAAAAGGACTTGATTTCCAAATGTAGTTCAAAACGTACTTTTATCTGAAAAGAGGACCACAGAGCAGTAGTCCACTTCTTTTTCCACTTACCATAAGACACTTCTAAAGTCCCTGGTTCAGGGTGGTTTGACAGCAGTAGTAAAGCAACAGTTATACCGCCTGTTAT